CAAAGATGGCACGCGCATGAATCGAGAAATGGTCCAAATATTTGCATACATTATAAATTTTGAGGTTTAATAATTTTGCAGGCTCAACATGCTGGATCGATGCTCCACCTGCTGAGGGAGGCCTTGGACAGGGTGGCCCTGGGCCCGACCGACGCCCCGTTTGTGGTGGCCGATCTCGGGTGCTCGTGCGGCACCAACACCATACACGTGGTGGAGGTGATCATCAAGCACATGGTGGAGCGGTATGAGGCGGCCGGCTGTGGTGGGCCCCCTGAGTTCTCTGCCTTCTTCTCCGATTTGCCGTCCAACGACTTCAACACGCTGTTCCAGCTGCTGCCCCCACGCTCCTACTTTGCTGCCGGAGTGCCCGGTTCCTTCTACCGGCGCCTTTTTCCGGCAAAATCCGTTGACGTCTTCTATTCGGCCTTTTCCTTGCACTGGCTGTCTCGGGTAATTAATTATTCATTCTACTTATATATTTTATTTTCATTCCCTTTGTCTGTGAGGGCTTTCATTAATATTTAGGACTATCTATGAATGAATGGATAGACCCCTACATTATTATTATTATTATTATTATTATTATTATTATTATTATTATTATTATTATTATTATTATTATTATTATTATTATTATAAGCTGCTGGAGGCGTGCATGTCTATGTATATATTTCTTTCTTGCTGCATTTAATGCACAAAAGAAATTAGGATTTGGGTCAATTGTTGTTTGGTTTTGTCGGAATTAATGAGGATGGGCTTGATCTAATAATATTTAAATCTTTTTGATAATTTAAATTATCTACAATAATTAATTATAAATTCATAATATAGGCTGTGTACTTAAAATCTTAAACATGTCAACCTTGTTTCGCGCAAGCCTGTCACATTGGTAAAGAAAATGCGTATTTATGACGATTACTTAATACTATAATAATAATATTTTAAAATAAATATTATTTAATTAATATGATTGAAATGCAAGTTAAGCAATGTGATTTGAGTTAATATATAGATGCAAATTATTTAATTAATTAACCTAAAATTAAACTGCATATATATGTATATGGTTTTTCATCAGGTTCCAGATGTGGTGGTGGACAAGAGATCGACGGCATACAATAAAGGTAGAGTGTTCATCGATGGCGCAAACGAAAGCATCGTGAACGCGTACAAGAAACAATTCAAGTGGGACTTAACCGGGTTCTTGAGAGCAAGGTCGAAAGAGATGAAGAGAGGAGGGTCCATGTTCTTGGTTTGCTTGGGAAGGACTTGTTCCGACCCGAGCGATCAAGGTGGGGCCGGCCTTCTCTTCGCTACCCATTTTCAGGATGCTTGGGAGGATCTTGTCCAACAGGTCATTAATTAATAATAAGTACTCCTTAATTCACATATTATATATATATATATATATCATAATTATTAACATTCATGTGAGTAAAGGTAAGACTACTTACTAATCATGGGAGAGTCGGAGATAGATAGATGATAGATGATCAGTAATTAATTAAGTCTAATCATATATTTTTTAAATTTTGGCTGTTAATTAATCAATCGGTCAAATCATAATCCCAAGTAGTCAATACATGATAATATGATAGTAGTATATATCCTAACAAGTCAAAATGATCGTGTCTGCACATTAATTATATAACCAGAAATTAATGATCATGTCTAGTGGTATTAGTTGAGAAAGTTGATTTCTAGCTCTCCCGGCCCCCCTACTTTAACTTTATAGACATCTATATAATAATCTGCGTAATGAAGATATATTTACGGGAAATGCTGTGGTCCGTGGTAAAACACCCGACGAGATGATACTGTAACATTTCCTTATATATATTTATATAATGCAAAACAAATATATTTTATGATTACTTATTTTGTACACTGCACAATATAATTCCAGGACCTGATCAGTAGTGATAAAAGGGACACGTTCAACATTCCGGTTTACGCGGCCAGCCTGGACGAGTTCAAGGAGGTGGTGGAAGCCGAGGGTTCGTTTATCATCAACCGGCTCGAAACCTTCAAAGGTGGCAGCCCTCTCGTGGTGGCCCGGCCGGACGACCCGGTGGAGGTCGGCCGCTCGTTCGCCAACACCTGCCGAAGCGTGGCTGGCGTCCTGGTCGAGGCGCACATCGGCGACCGCCTAGGCGACGTACTCTTCGATCGTGTGGCGGTCCGGGCTGCGAGCCGGGCCGAGGAGCTCAAGGACAAGCTTCAGTTCTACCACATTGTGGCCTCACTTTCTCTGCCCAATAATTATTGATTAATTAGTACGTAGTAAATAAGAAATTAACTAGTGCGCTGGCCTATTATAATTATAATTATAATTATAATTATTATAATATATAAATGTGGTTACTTACTTTATGGCTCTAACCGTAGGGAAAGGGAGTGATTATTGGAGTAGCCCTTTACTTTTTCATGGTCTTAGCCTTGATTGTTGCGGTTTGTTGATTGTGGAAAGTATTATTGCAGTTACGCAAGGCGGTTTGGAGATTTTTTTTTTTTTTTTTTTTTTTTGACTTTTTTGACTGTTTTTCATGATCGTTATTCGACTAGACAAAAGGTAAAAAAAATAAAAATAAATAAATAAAAGCTCGGGACCAAAGTGAAAAAGTTTGAATTTGTATACTGTGCTTTAGAAGTGTTATGATTGTGTTGTGTTCTTGTGTCTATAAGAGTATAGAGCACAGTAACAATTGGCCTTGGCTTTTTATCCGTATAATTAGGAATTTTGCTTGTAGATCATGTAGACAACTTGTGCAACACTATCTTTTAATTGAACCTTTCGCTCCATCAATGCATTGCAGCCTTTAGATTCATGTCCTCGATGGTTCGAGTGTTGTACGTCAGCCTGCAGCTACATTTCTTTGACTCTACTTAACGATCCGGTCAATTTTGCTCCCGATGTTCAGGAAATTCACAACCCTCAACCACTCGCAGACCATCGCCGATGGTCTTTGGATTTGGATTGTTCTATTCTGTTATCACACGACACCAAAAAAAAAAAAAAAATTGTCTAAAAAGGTCTTTCTAAATGTAAAATAATTCTAAACAAATTGTGTTATTTAATATTTTATTTATTAAACTTCTCACTTTTCACCAACCAACTATAATTTGGCATCTATCTTATTATATCACTATTAACATTAATCATTGGAGACACAAAATGGACAATATGCCATTGGAAATTCTCATAAGATGTATCTGACATCGTGGATGCTACAGGATGTGGCACCTTGCTTAGAAAATATTTTATATTTTAAAAATATTATTTTAAATATTTATAAAAAAAGAGCTAAATAAACATAAAATGAATCATAGACAGGTTTTTTTTTTTTTTATCAAATGGCAAAAATACTCATTAGAATAAACCAAAGTTTGGAATATACTAGGGGATGCCCCCGAAAGATTGGGTCACTCAGAGGACAAACATAAAATTATGCTGCCTAGAACTACTACCCTACTAGCACAAACCCGAACCAAATAGAGTTGAGGCAGCTACATTCGCCAGAACCCTCCAACCCCACAACAACAAGCAATTGAAAAACAAAACTAGGAACACAAACTAGAAGTAGAACTTCACCAGTACACAAGACCTGGTAAATTCCATTTCTATCTTAGAACCAACCTTGATTCCTGCCATCTTTGAAGTCTTCAATCCTTTATAGCTGACTTAATGACCATGTACTCTGACTTCCAAACCTCTTCAAAGATCCACAAGTTTTTGGCATTCCGCAACCGCCGCAGAATGTAGGTGGAAAGTTGTATTATGTCCACTGAAGTTTTCTTGAAGTCGATCGTGTTGAGCCACCACCACCACTCCTTAAATTTAAACTGACCTGTCTTGAAATTGTCCCACTGCATTGGTGCTAGTTTCAATGTTTTTTTTAGCTCTAGGGCACGTGAAAAAATATATGCTCCTATGTTTCCTTGGCTTCACCACAAACCCTGCAAATCACATGGACCTCTTTTTTTAATATACCCACAAGAAGAATGTCTGAAAAACATTTCCAGATAAAATGTTTTACCTTGCCCATCACTCTGAGTTTTTAGTAACTTGGTCTAGCTGTTTTGCTTATCTTTGCTAACCTACTGTTTTCAGCTTCTTCAAACAAGCAAGCTTTGTCAACAATGAGTTTAAAGTACACTGCTCCAACAGAAAAAGCTCTTTTGATATCAAAAGAACATTTCCACTATTCTAGTAGGTTGGGATTGAAAGTTTTGAGGATTTTATCAGCATCACTCTCCTGGAAAATTGTTGTCACCAATGCAATATCTAATCTGCTCCCCGTGCACACATTAGATCTCTTACCCAAGTCAGGTTCTTATCTTCTTAAATCCTTAGCTTTGGTTTGCCCTCCTTAATTTCAGGAACCCAATTAAAATCAGAAAGTCTAGTGTTGGCTCCATTTGTGATAACAATCTCAACACCATTCTGCAACAAGGGGATCAAATAAGTCCAAGAGTTCCATAAGCAAGATGCACGCAACCAAACAAAGAAGAGGTAGGGAAATATTTTCCTTTCAAAACCTTACTTACGAACAACTGAGGTTATGTTAACACTCTCCAAATTTGCTTTAGAATTGGAGCTTTATTGAATAATTTGACATCCTGAAAGCCTTACCTTCAGTGATATTTTGTCCTAAGATTTCCAATGATGGCCCTGTTGCTGCTCATCCCCTTTGCGCCACCAGAATTTAGCCACCAATCTGTAAACTTCTTTACACAAAACTACTAGTAAAACAAAACAATACATTATAAAAACCGAAAGAGCATTAAGGGCAAATTTCACCAGAACTTCTTTTCCAGCGGTATAAAAATTTAATTCTCCAACTACAGATTTTACTCTTGACAACTTCTACAACATAATAGAATGCATCTTTCTTAGAACTTCAAATTCCCAGAGGCAAACCCAAATATCTGGAAAATCTATGAACAAATATACCATTAAGAACATAAAAGATTCTATTATTTACCATATCAGAACAATTCTTGTTGAGAAACAAAGAAAATTTATTCATATTCACTTTATGCCCCCAAAAAGCTAGTATTTATTTAGAATGTCCAGAAGAGTTAAAACATGATCTTCATCAGCTATGTTGAAAACCAAAGAATCATCCACAAATTATACATGAGAAAGAGTACATCCTGAATAACCTGATTCCTCTAAATTGACCCAACCTGATTTTTTGAGATATAAGAGATAAAAATAATTTAGATACCAAATTGAACAGATAAGGTGACGAAGGGTCACCTTGTCTGATTCCCTTTGTTGGAGTCACATACCCACAAATCTTACCATTAATTTCAAGGAGAAGGAAGAAGAAAAAATGCATGCTAAGATCTCTTTAATAGAAGTAGGATGAAACCCCGTCTCAAACGTAGTTCTCCTAACACTTTCCCACTTGATCTGGCCTTATGTTTTCTCTATATCCAGTTTAATTGCCATAAACACATTTGAACCAGACCTATGTCCATTCAAGAAGTGGAATACTTCATGTGAAATGACACATTATCAAGTAACTGCCTTCCAGGAACAAAAGCAGTTTGGGGAGGGCTAATACAAGCATTTAAGCACAACTTCTAGATGCCAGAATTTTAGCAATTATTTTGCACAACACCCCATACAGACATATGGGTCTATAATTGCTAAGGGTAGCAGCATACAAACACTTTGGTATGAGTGTTATAAGTGTATGGTTCCAAGTCTTCAACAATTTACCACATGAGAAAAATCTTCTAAAAATTTGCCAAAAGTGGTGACAAAAAAAATATATGGTATTGACATACCATCCTCTCCAGGAGCTTTCTCACGAGAAATACTGAAAAAGTGTTGCTTTAATTTCCTCCTCTTCCACTGGCCTAATAAGCTCATTATTCATGGCACTACAGATTGAATGAGGCACCTACTGTAGCAACTTCTCCCCACCCTGAGAATTCTTTGAGGTGAACAGGTTTGTGTAAAACTCATAAACATGATCTTCTCTCTCTCTCTA